AATATCCTTGTGACAGAATCGAATCCATGCATTTTTAAAATATTTTTATCAATGATATACCCGGATTACTAATTTTTTTCCCTAAAAAAAAACTTTGAAAAAACAAGATCTGTTTGTGAAACACTATGCGCCGAGCGGCAACAAAGTTTGGAAAAGCAATCTTTAAAGTTTAAGGTCACAGTCAAGATCACACAATCATTGTCCTTGGTGTCATTTGAAGCACTTAATTAGTGGAGTATACGTACCAAATATGAAGTCTCTAACCCCTATGGTTAAAAAGTAATGGCGAAAGTTCGAAAAAACCATTTTTAGCATACAGGTCAAGGTTACAAGGTCATTGACCTTGGTGTCAGTTGAAAGTGCTTAATTAGTGGAGTATGCATACCAAATATGAAGTCTCTATCTTTCATGGTTTAAAAGTTATGGCGAAGGATAAAGTTGACAATAGACAGACAAACAGGACAAAAACAATATATAACAATACCAATTCTATCGATTCGGGTGCATAAATTTATCTTTATTCTGCAGGGTAAAGGGGAGCGGAATTTGACTCTGTTCAGTTCTTAATTCTTTACTTGTGTATGACTAAAAAAACTAATTACTTAAGGTAGTTACTTCATGTAAATTAGTCAAATGTCATGTTCTATAAAATATGAATTTACCGGGTGGGAGTAAATTCAAAATTTAGGACATGACACGAATCTCAAGTTACGCCACTGAGAACAAAAACCACGCCCTCCACTATGATACTTAGTATCTATATGTAGCTATGAGAAACATAGCAACATTGATATTATCAAAAGAAGACCACCACATAGCGGAGCATCTCTCTGCTAGAGACAATATCTTTTAAAAATCTCGGCACATCGATCCCCATAAAAAGTACGCCACTTCTGTTAAACACAGGACAAACTTACTCCCCACACAAAAAAGCGTCTTACTATATCTCTATAAGCTCCGTAGCGAGGGGATGTTTATCACGTGCATGAAATACTGTAGATTTTTAAATATACACGAAGAATTAATTGTCGCGTTATTTCGCGAGAAGCATCACACGCGAAAAAAAAATTACCCACCTTTATTTTATGGTGCTGAAATCTATGTAAAATCTGTTGACTAACCGTCTATTTGCAAATCATTAATTTCGCGATTTGACGTTTAAAATTAAAAAAAATGAGGAATCTACATTATATGAGCGCTTAGATATTTCCTTTTATTTCCATTATGCAGCAAAAAAATGAGGGTAAAATCTAATCTATTTTAACCAAACCATAATCATTGACGATGGTTTTCTAAGGATGTTACCAACAACTTCATGACTGTTTATGGAGCTAGTGAGGATTATATTTAAGTGAATGAATAAAGTCACAATCACAAAATTTGCCAGTTGACTGTTGTGGTAAGATATGGTAAGAGAAAGACTGATATATCAACATAAAATGTTCAACGTGAACAGCTAGTTTAATTAATAAAGAGGTTTATTGTACTAAACATCAGCAAAGTTTTATATTTAATACTACATTTAGTAATTACATGTATAAACAATTTAGACAAAGAAGCTCGGTCAACAAGACGTGCAGAATGCCCGTATCTTCAGACATTTAACACTAAATTTCAATAATTAAAACTTTTTCGAGAAAAAAATCTCGGATTTATTCTTTTATTTAAAAAATAATCATAGGATTCGAACACCATCAATAAAACTCCTACGTCTTTAACGATATCTGTAAATTGTAGAGTTTTTATATTAAATACACTGTATTAAATACATATCAAAATCAGATGAAATATCAATGAAAGTTTTGAAATTATTAAGTTTTTATTGTTCACTTCATATTTGTCACACATAATGCATTTGGTGTCTTCCCAAAATTCCAATTTTGGCTAGATGGGAATAAGAAATCCAGAATTTTGGCTAAGTGGGAATAAACCATGCATTTCACCCGCCCTGTTCACCCACCTTCTTTTCATGAATGCTTGGTTTTATTCTATGTTAATCAAATACAATCGAAAATAAATATTTTGTGAGCAAATAGTCTAGTGCAATAACGCGAAAATAAAGTTTTAAAGAATAAAAATCTGATTTACAATAAACAAAATACTTAGGATCAAAGGAAGTAGAACTGTGGATCCACATTATGTAAGGAAACTTTGCATTTTAGTGTGATAAAACCTTGAAGAACTTTGATAAATTATTGTGTCTTGCTACAGTGTACGTGATAAATTTGTGACATTTTTTAATGTACTTGATCCACTTTCATAAACGACATTTTGGACTCTTCTAGTTTATTTGGGAATAGATTTTTTTCTCTCTATTGTCCATTTAGATAAACATATGGTCATTGTTTCAAAAAACAAATTGTAAATTTTTCAGTATCAGATTTGAATAAAATATCACAGTCTTCTTTCATATAAAAAAGATTTACGATACTGGAATAAAGAAAACATTTTAGAATCATTTTTATATTTATGCCAACAGAAAGGAAATCAATCAGCATTTTCCCCCATTCTTTGTATCAGTAAATGTCTTGAATATTTTAACAAAACAAGCATATCTCTCCTGCAATTAATATTAAGAATGTAAAGAAGTGAATTTAAATAAGCTCATTATATATTCATCACAATTCTCATCAATCTACGCTAGTTCGCGGTTCCTCTCTATCCTTCATTGTTTGTTTGAATTCACCACCAATGGCAGCGTGCCCCTGACGCTGCATCTGAAGTACTCTATATTTTACCCCTTCGCTCATAACTTATTTTTTTAGCCCCCAAATCTAAATGACAAATTTTAAATAGTATCCTTTTAATACCGGTATATGCAGACGGGTTCTACTGAAGCGCTTCGCTGTCTCTGGTGCGTGCATTGCACGTGTGCACCTAATACCGTCACTCGCCGAGCGTTGTCATATTATGTAATAATGCAACGCTTCTTGACTTAAATATTTTGCAAGATCTCTCTTTATAGCGGCATCTTTGAAAAATATTTTGAAAAAAGAAATAAATTGATGATTAGCAAGATTCTATATATAGCATGTGAGATTTAAAAATGTTGGTGCTTCACTTAATTGTGGCGTTTTCTTACTACATACTACACTACCCGCCATTCATCTTCTTTTTGACACTAATCTCTGTTTAAACTTTTTATAAAATACTGTCATGGAGATGGGACTTAAATACCTGGCATATTGTGCTAAAATGCCACACAAATGGAGTTTTAATGTAAGGTATAAGGCTTTGTAGATCCTCCTTTTATACCTTATACAAGCGAAATATTGTAAACAACATCCATTTCTCTGCCGTAAGAAATCGTTGATTAATTACTGGATAGCAGAGGTAACAAGCTGTAAAGACAGGAAGGAAACATGACTGCATATTATTCCATGCTATTTTTCAGTATTATCAATTCCTATTTTAGTTTCAGAAGCATTAATTTATAATATTTTTTTACAATATGTATTACGCTTTACCTTCTAAAAATGGGTGCTACTGAAATTTCCACTTTCGATTTTAAATTTTGGGTTTCGTTTATCAATATTTTTACTGTTCTACATTGTTTTGTGATATGTTCGATCCCGATTTTCTCCATCAAAGGTAAGCCTAGAACTTTCAATAACCCATTCCGATATTAAGGTCGTAGGGTCCAAACTAGTTCCCTAATTTTCGGAGAGGTTATCTGCCCCTTTAGTCACGTCACCTGAAGCTCGGTGATAATGGAGTCTGATACAGTATCTCCCCGTCAGGAAAACTTAAGAGCTTTGGTGGACCGACAATAATCTAGATTACCTCGACAATCGTTTTGAAGAGCTATGAAAATATTGCGCTACAATAAAAGTTTTCTTTGGGAGGCGTTTAGTCCAATTGCAATAATAGTTATCACTTGTTACGAACTCAGGTGAACAGGCACGCGGAAAAAAAATGTCGCAATCAAAGTACTTGTAGTTGCAGATTAAATTTTCAGTTCATTTTGTGTAACGATAATCAGTACTACTCGTCTCTCCTGAATTGAACGATAGGCATTGTTAAATGTTTACAATACTTTTTATTATTCACGTATAAATTTTTAATGCAACAATACTAATTTATTCTCCTGTGCATATATATTTTTAACGATTGGGATATCCACTGAACACATCGAAATATATAAATGCACATGTTTTAATAGGTCCCTGGTTTTAATCATGAAGTGTGAGCGCTTTAGCCTAAAGTCAAGAGGGTCGTGGTGTCCGAACTCAATAACCAGGTCATCATGGCGCAGACCGTGATTTCAGGAAGGGACGCCATTTGTAAAAGCCAAGTAACCAAAACACTAATGTTCCCAGAGTCCAGCAGAAGTCAGAAACTCTGCATACTCCAAACAGATGTCGCTGTTTCGTACTACAGAGTAAGATTCAAGAAGTGTAAAGGCGATAAAAAGGTGTTGATTTGTAAAGGCGCCAAATGGATGACATTTTCTGTGACATCACGTCATTACAAAGGGAGATAAGGGTGTATATCAAAGGGAAATGATCAAAGATGACGTCTGATGTCGTTTTCTCGTTCTACAAATCAACCCTTATGACTAGTATAGACATTGTGTCTGCCTTGGATACTTATATCAGCACAGTACAATTTAACCAAAAGTTGCATAAACCAGTATGTTTGTAATGTGGAATTGGTATCTCCTTGCTTTAACATGAAAGAACGTAATATATCAAAAAATTGTCTTTCACAAAGAATTGATAATGCAGAACTGCAGATGTCATATTATCTAGCAGCTTTTGTTTCAATAAGGTGCTGACAAAATAATAACAATAAAAAAAATCATAATCCTGATATTCTCCAACAGATAACCTTGCGCTGAAGAAAAGTCAAATCAGCCCGTCCAAGTTTGTACAGCAGAAGACAGTGTGTGTTTCAAATGGTCATCACTTGGAGGTTCAATCTTATCGACCGTACACTTAAACATCCCACAATCTTTAAATTTAAATCACACAATGAAAAAAAATCCTCAAAAGCACTTTTCTTCGCCACTATGAACACATGATGTTTTTGAGGGGGAAAATTAAATTGTTGATACTCCAGATGAACTTGGCGAACCAATTGTAGGGAACGGGAGATAACTCGCTGACGTGCCACTGTTCATTTATAAGTCGGGTAGAACGCTGATTTCTTTCATTCCCAGAGATCCATACTCTGGAAAATATGGATCATCTTCACGTGCATTAGTGGTCTGAAAATACAATAAATAAATAAAAATAGGCAACTCATCAAGAATTTTCCCAAACAATGAAATCATCAGGGCATTGACAAAACAATCTTGAGTGTAATGGCAAAACTTGGAAAGAATATAACATCTTGATTAGTACACCTGAATCGAAATTGTTTGACACGGGTTATTAAAATTGGCACGGGAGATATTTTTAACATTGAATATTGAACATTTTCTTGTGTGTAAAAAAATATATGAGACCGTATTTTCAACATGCAGCTGAGTAATTTTGCTCAGCACGTCAGGGATCCTTAGTCAACTTTTTGCCTCCAACAGAAATGTGTTGACTTAAGGATCCCTTATGTTGTTTGGTACAAAACAACGTAAGAGATCATTAAGTCAACAGTACAAATCAACGTAAGAGATCATTAAGTCAACAGTACATAGCAATGTACGGGATCTTTCAGTCAACAATACATAACAAAGCAATGTCAATAACACAAAACAACGTAATGGATTCTTAGGTCAACTATACAAAACAACGTAAAGGATTTCCTAGGTCAACTGTAAAAAACAAGGCAACGGATTCTTAGGTCAACTGCACAAAACAAAGCAAAGGATTTTTAGGTCAACTGTACAAAACAACGCAAAGGATTCTTAGGTCAACTGTACAAAACAACGCAAAGGATTTTAGGTAAACTGTACAAAACAGTGTACAGGATTTTTAGGTCAACAGTACAAAACAACGCAAAGGATTCTTAGGACAACAAAACAAAACAATGCAAAGGATTCTTAGGTCAACAGAACAAAACAACGCATAGGATTTTTAGGTCAACAGAACAAAACAGCGTAAAGGATTCTTAGGTTAACTGTACAAAACAACACAAAGGATTATTAGGTCAACTGTACAAAATAGCGATAAGGATTCTTAAGCAAACAGAACAAAACAGCGAAAAGGATTCTCAGGTCAACAGAACAAAACAACGCAAAGGATTCTTAGGTCAACAGTACAAAACAACGTAAAGGATTCTTAGGTAAACTGTACAAAACAACGCAAAGGATTCTTAGGTCTACAGAACAAAACAACGTAAAGAATTCTTAGGTAAACTGTACAAAACAGCGTAAAGGATTCTTAGGTCTACAGAACAAAACAGCATTAAGAATTCTTAGGTCAACGGTACAAAACAACGCAAAGGATTCTTAGATCAACCGTATAAAACAGTATAAAGGATTCTTAGGTCAACGGTACAAAACAGCGTAAAGAATTCTTAGGTCAAAAGTACAAAACAACGCAAAGGATTCTTAGGTCAACAGAGCAAAACAGCGTAAAGGATTCTTAGGTCAACTGTACAAAACAATGCAAAGGATTCTTAGGTCAACTGTACAAAACAACACAAAGGATTCTTAAGCCAACAGAACAAAAGGTCAACAGAATAAAACAACGTAGGGCAACACTACAAAACAACGTAAGGGATTATTAGATCAACAATAAAATAGAGCGTAAGGAATTCTTAGGTCAACACTACAAAACAACGTTAGGGATTCTTAGTTCAACAGAACAAAACAACGAAAATGATTCTTAGGTCAACGGTACAAAACAACACAAGGGATTCTTAGGTCAACTGTACAAAACAACGCAAAGGACTCGTAGGTCAACAATGCAAAACAACGTAAAGGATTCTAAGGTCAACGGTACAAAACAGCGTAAAGGATTCTTAGGTCAACGGTACAAAACAACGCAAAGGATTCTTAGGTCAACTGTACAAAACAACGCAAAGGACTCGTAGGTCAACAGTACAAAACTACGTAAAGGATTCTAAGGTCAACAGTACAAAACAACGTAAAGGATTCTAAGGTCAACGGTACAAAACAAAGCAAAGGATTCTTAAGCCAACAGAACAAAACAACGCAAAGGATTCTTAGGTCAACTGTACAAAAAATGCAAGGGTTTCTTAGTTCAACAGTACAAAACAGCTAGGAGATTCACAGGTCAACCGTAGAAAACAACGTAATGGATTCTTCAGAGTGAACAATACATAACAACGTAATGGATTCTTCAGTGAACAGTACACAACAGCGTAAACCAAGGGATTCTTTTAAAGTCAACAAATTTTTGTTGGAGGTAAATTATTCAGCTCGAATACTGTTTGTTATCTCTTTTAGTAAAACTCATATTTTTTTAAGTAGTACATATACATGTATATAAAACACACCTTTCTGAAAATGTTCTTGAAAATATAATTGTGGAGCAAGGGCACTAGACAAATTCAATTACATTGTGTACACTGAACATGCATTACTAGTATTTAATAACAGGGTAGCTTCATTTTATAACTTCCATACAATTTATGTGTGCAGTAATAATTTCAGATACCTTTGAAAAACTACTTTTTTCTTATATTCCAGTGAATAAAAAAGTTAAATAAAATGAAATAATTACAATTTTTCTTAAATCTCTCGACCAAAGCGAATACGATACATGCTGTAAAAGGTCAAACAAATCATTATTGGATATAATTAGCTATTTTCCGTTAACGTTGAATTTTTTTTAATGTTCGTATTTCTAGAGCTGATCTGGTTTTAATAAAATTCTGGAAACATTGCTATACTTTTAAAATAATAATAATATGCGTGAATAAATCAAGATTATTTTAAGCTAGCCCTGACCATTTTTAGAGTAGTTAAGCCTTAATAGAAAAAGAGCACTGCAATAAATTTATTTTGGATCGTCCGAGATTTGCTGAATGGATAAGAATGTACAAAATGTGTAGCTTCAACATATGTTATAAATATTCCTTTCTAAACAATACTTTATGGCAAGAAAAATATAGATTTTTGTATTTTAGGTGGATCTATTGGATAATTTCATTCAAAAATAAAATAAAAGTACATGTACAAGAATAATAAGTTTTCAGTGGCAGTGTAGTCCGAAATATCTGACGTTCACCGGACTTTTATACATCCAATATTTGGAATATTTAAGGCTAGTGTGAGTAGTGGAAGGGCTGAAGTATACCTGATATCCTAAGTTGTTATCCTCCGTGTTACAGATGTCAAACAAAACTGCTCCAGCGGAGAAGGACACAGAATCGGCTTCCTCACTTTGTCTTCTTCTTTCCCGCCGAGGAGTACCTCGACAGTGTCTGTCACATACTTCCTGGTCATGTTCCATTATCATCCTCTGTAATTTGTTGATATAATCAATGGCTACTCGAAGGGTTCGGACTTTGGACAAACGTTTTTGTTTGACTTCTCCTGTCACCCTTTTCCGTAATCTCTGAAATGCTTCATTGACGGCTTCTACACGTCTGCGTTCTCTGGCATTACGTCGCGCCACAAGATGTGGCGGTTTCTCTCTATGCGGCACGTGCCGATACGTCGTTTTCCCGCCAGATTTTTTCCCGCGGTTTCTGTACTTCACAGTCATCCCTTTGCACACTGAGTTTGGGATGCTGTGGAGAGCAGCATGGTTGTGACCACCTGCTTGTACCACTTCTGAAGCAGGTGAAAACAGACAGGACGAAACTTTTCTCTCAGAAAACACGTCCATGGTTGCTTGGTCTGTCTTTGCATGTCTAAAAGAAACCAAGGTAGCTGCGAGGCGGACTTTCCGGAAATTAGTACGGGAATTGTAATGATATAATTTTCTCTTCAACAGTTTCTTTTCGATCTGTATATGTTAATAATTGATGAGATTGCCCTTAAAGGCTGTGATCAGTGGACGAGCCTCGATCTGTCATCTTAGCTATCCCAGCATCCCCCTGATAACGTCACAGGGATAATTGTGGGTGCTTCACGGAAGCTTTAGAAATAGTGAAAGACCCTTAAATCGACTGTAATTGTTTAATAATTAAAAAGATAATCGTCTAGAAAAATAACACTAAGCCTTGAAAATGCAAAAAAAAAATTAATGTTATTCTATTTTATAATTTTAGCATTTATATTGTTTTGAGAAAAGTCACTTCAATATGTGAAAAGTCACTTCAATATGTGACATCTCATTGTATCCTATTTGTTCTACTTCCTTGCAATTTTTTTTTAAAAGCTGGTTGCCATAACAAAATATCATATGTTTATGTAAAATGTATGAAAAAATCTTTTTAAAAAATTTTCATTTTCATCTCCCTTCTGGACACCCTCAAAGTTACTGAAAGCTGGAGGAATATGTGCCTCCCCTCCCCCTCCGTAATCCTGTATTCTGTGCTGTTGGCCATTCTCAAATATTTCAGTGAAAAGAAATCTAAATATGGATATCAATCCGTTGAGATGTACCCTTCAATTACACAGTAAAATCTGGATGCAGAGCAGAAATGTTACTTTATGTTCAAGATCAACTGAAGATGCGACCCCCAATTATCTCTAATTAATAAACTCGACAAGAAGTCATTAGTGGCCGAGAGATCTTGTTAACATTGTCAAGGCGGAGCATTCCTAGAGATCAGGAGAGCCCCGGAAATTATACTATCAATATTTAATGACTTCGGCGATACTGAAGATTTTGTGTAGACGGTCGTGCACCTGCTCGTGATCTATGTCATCATTATGTAAATCAATCTCAAATCTTTGAACTTTATTTAAAATTGTTTTAGCTTTATTGAACATTAGTTCTTTAAAAAAAATTTCAGTAAGATGAAGCATCAAGAGAAAGTGTATTTTTGAAAAGTGCCATTTTTCTAAAATAAACATATAATTCGTGACACTAATATTTTAGATAAACTTTTTTCATTTGATATGACATTCATCAATTCTTGTGAAAAGATCAGATTGGTGGACAATGTCTAAAATATTAAAAAGAGGTTTCGAAAAATCAGAAGGATAGGATTTTAAAAATTGTAAATTCAGAAAGACAAATAACGTTCTGTTTGCTCGGTCCTATTCGGTGGCGCGCGCCACGGGCGAGTAGAGTGTGTGTCTTTTATAAAATCAAATAAAGGAGCTTGTTTATAAAAGCTCAACATGGGTGCCTATTTTCATATTTTTCTTTATTTGTTTTATATAATGCACTTTTTAACTGTAATCCTCTTATTTCCGGGTCAATATCTTTAAAATGAATGTAAACTTATGAAGTGATAAACAACAACTTGTAAAGGGAAAAACGAACATGCAAGTTCTTTGACCACAGATAAGGAAATATAAATCTACACTTTCAATATTTACTGTCATTAATACCCAAGTACTGTCTGTTAGAGAGAATCGTAGTCCATTAGATGCACGGACGCGTTATCTTACAGGTGCTTGGGGCACATTCCCCCGCCCTAGGAACGAATCCCGGTGGAACCTCGGCGTACCATTTGTCGCGTGCTTGTGCGTGTCCTAGTCGTGCAAACGGCACGCGCTGATGGAAACATAATGGCTATCAAATATTTCTACAACGTCTTCTCCTGCGTTTAAACACGTTAATTCGTTTATGTGCATGACTGATGATAGATTCCTAAATATTTATTAAAACTGAGCAATGTTATTTCGACAAGTTGAAGTGGTGGAAGGTAGTACACCGGCGGGGTATCCCCTCCCAATCAACACGTAATCCTCCATTACAAACAGAATATCCCTCTAATGGGACAAATATTGAATTTTTATTAATCTGTTAGAAATATGTCTTTAAAATGATATTATATTGAGTTTGATTAAGAATTATCACTGCATTCGTATTTGATTTTGGTTTCAAATTCAATGAGTTATATTGCCATTCCATAAATATTGAATTACCTACAAAGTTTTTATTAGAATTCAACTTTATACAAAAGAATTAAATTATAGGAATTAAAGTGCAATATTAACTAACTAGTAAATGGAATCCATATTAATCTTCACTTAAACAGTTAAACATTTTTTTTAAATAGAAAAGTGTTCAAAAAAATGATTACAAGTATGGCGCATTTAGTTTCCTAGCTGTGGAACTGTTATATGTAGATACGGGTCAAAGTATAATTTATATGAAACCATGATGCTGTTGCGAGCGTTTCTCAAATGCCAAGTTTAACTCTTAAAGCCAGGGTCAAAATGTCAAAATTATTAGTATCCAAAGAAAGTTCTTATCACAAGGAATTCATATGCGAAAAACAAAAACTTTAGTGCCAACTATTCCAAGGTTTAGGCCAAGGTTATAACGATCATAGTTCCTGAAACAAGTAGTGATCAAGATTTTTCGAGATAATAAAATTTCAGAAAGAAGCCAAAGATACTAATTCTTTAAAATATTAAACACATAAATAACACGCACATGCAAGGTAGAAGCAACCCTCGCAAAGAGCATTTCTAAAAATCAAGGCAGCATTCGACATCGAATGTTTCATTTGAATACAGTAACGACCAAGTTTAAGACTCTATAAAAAGCAACAAACTTTTCAGTTCAAGGACATGAGGTCGAATCCGACCGAAAGGTCCAGCACGTGGCAAGTCATGCATTTGTGACTTGTGAAAAACCCTGTCTTTTCCGGAACAAACGTTAGCGCCAAAATTTTAAAAATTTGCGAGTTAAAGTTCTTGGTTACACTAACAAAAACTTCATAAACTACTTAAACATAAACTAAGTACTTTAATACTTTGATCTAATATGAAACTTTACTCTAGAAATTTTGAAAGATTTTGAGCTTTTACTATTCTTACGTATAAGTCAATTAAAAAAAAACATGAAAATTTTCAAGAAATAGCATTCTTAATATCAGAAAATTATTTATGAAAATATGGAGACAACGATCGAACAGTATTCAAGATAGAAAAAATCCGTTAAACAATACAAAATAGGCGCAGAGCAAACACTGACCTCCAAACATCAAAGGTGGGATCAGGTGTCATGTAGGAGTGAGAATCCCCTACCGAATTAAAAGCAAGAGGCCCATATATAGGCACATGGGCTAGATAAAAAACACAAATCAGCTCAGTATTGAAAAGTTTACTAGTTGGGGGAGGGGGGTTTGAATTTTTTATTACTCGAGAATGTCACTATATCAATAAAACATACAATTTGATTTGATTGCCCATTATGGCCCCACCTTATCCCCAAGGGTCATGATATGAGCAAACTTGAACTAGAACTGTCCAAACGGGACAAAATACCCCCGCTGGTTTTTTCAGAAGTAAGTTTTTCCATAATAAAGATATGAATCAAACATGAATTATGAAATTTTTCTTCCAGTGACCTTGAACTTCCCCAAATGACCTTGGGTCAAGGTCATGACACACCCTTGGGTCATGGGCAATCTTCGTGTGAAATGAGAACCTACCAAGTTTATCCATAAGAAAGATATGGACCCGACACGAATTATGAAATTTTCTTCCAGTGACCTTGAACTTCCCCAAATGACCTGGGTCAAGGTCAAGACAAACCTTTGGGTCATGGGCAATCTTTGTGTGAAATGAGAACCTACCAAGTTTATCCATAAGAAAGATATGGACCGGACACAAATTATGAATTTTACTTCCAGTGACCTTGAACTTCCCCAAATGACCTTGGGTCAAGGTCATGACACACCCTTAGGTCATGGGCAATCTTTGTGTGGAGTAGTAGATTCTAATGTCCCTCTGTAAGAAAGATATGGACCGGACACGATTGCACAGACAGACGGACAGCTAGACATACGGACGGACGGATAGACGGAAAGACAGACAGACGGACAAGGTGATTCCTATATACCCCCCAAACTTCGTTTGCGGTGGGTATAATTAACTCTAACTGAGGATGTTTCCATATTAATATCACTAATCATAGCTTTGCTGATTTTGAGAAGAAGATTTTAAAAAGATCTTTCCTATGTATTCCTATGTAAAACTTTGATCAGCCATTGTGGCTCCACCCTATCCTCGGGGGTCATGATTTGAACAAATTTGAATCTACACTACCTGCGGATGCTTCAATATTAGTGTCATCTTTGCTGGCCCAATGGTTTTGGAGAAAAAAAAAATTTTAAAGAGTTTTCCTATGTACAACTTTGATCAGCCATTGTGGCCCCACCCTACCCCCAGGGTCATGATTTGAACAAACTTGAATCTACACTACCTGCGCTCGCTTTCACTTAAGTTTCATCTTTCCTGGTCCAATAATTCTGGAGAAGATTTTAAATTAAAAATTCCTATATATTCCTATGTAAAACTTTTGATCAGCCATTGTGGCCCAACACTACCCCCGGGGTTCATGATTTGAACAAACTTGAATCTACACTACCTGAAGATGCTTCCAGGTGAGTTTCATCTTTGCTGGTCCAAAGGTTTTGGAGAAAAAGATTTTTAAAGACTTTTCTTTGATCAGCCATAGTGGCACTGCCCTACCCACGGGGTCATGATTTGAACAAACTTGAATCTACACTACCTGAGGATGCTTTCACATGAGTTTCATCTTTCCTGGCCCAGGGGTTCTGGAGTAGAAGATTTTTAAAGATTTTTTCCTACATATCCCTATGAAAAACTTTGATCAGCCATTGTGGCCGCGCCCTTCCCTCGGCGTCATGATTTGAACAAACTTGAATCTACACTACCTGAGGATGCTTTCACATGAGTTTCTTCTTTCGTGGCCCAGTGGTTCCTAAGAAGAAGATTTTTAAAAAATGCCATTAATTTTTGATTGAAAATTAATTCATAATTATCTCCCCTTGAAAGAGGACTTGATCCTTCTTTTAAACAAACGTGAATCCCCTCACCCAAGCATACTTTGTGGCATGTTTGGTTGAAATTGGCCCAGTGGTTATTGAGGAGAAGATGAAAATGTGAAAAGTTTACGACAACAACAACGACAGACAACAGGCAATTTTTTTTAATCAGAAAAGCTCACTTAATTGAGCCTTCGGCTCAGGTGAGCTAAAAATACATGTACGAGGGCATTTCAAAAGTTCTGAGAACTGTTTAATAAAAAAAAAATAAATAACCGTTTTGCGGAAATTAACAAATTTGGTATACAGAATGTATGAATTTACGAACTTGACCTTTGGACCATTGATCTCAAAATCATTGGGAGTCTTCCTTAGCATGATTAGGCCAGAGAAATTTTATACCAAAAATCTCATAGCCCATATGGTTTTAGCTGCAGGTCTGTAGATCTCCGAAAAAAAAATGTATTGATAGACCATTTCCGGTCTATTAATATATATTTTTTCGGAGAGCTACAGATCTGCAGCTAATATGGTTTTTGTTGTAAATTTCACCACAAAAGCTCAAGGATACGTTTTTTCATATCTTAGACTATTTCAAAGTATGGTGATGCTTGAAAGTTCGATTTTAATAGAAAATATCGTCTACCCTCCCCTTTATTTCAAGAGCTGAATTCGAAATTAATTTAAATTTAATTTACTATCTAGCGCTGGAATTAAAATGATTAATCAATTACCACTGAACTGTTCTTTGTATTAATCAAAGATTTTATGGCCAATTGGCATCAATATTGAATTAAATAGTTGCAAAATTAAATGTAGGTTGGAATCAAGAGTTAAGAGTTCGTAGTTCTTTTCATAGCAAAAGTACATGTACATATCGCGCGGAAAGGAAAGCGTTACCAGACAGACAGACGAACGGACAGACAGACCAAAGTCACACTTCTCGGATGGTTCGTACCCCGCAAGTTTGAATGGAGCGTAGCGGAGTCAGCCACTTTGTGAAAGCAAGAACAAAAAAAAAATAAATTGTTTTAGCTCCCTGCTACACATTCGCGCATGCGCATTGAGACTTTCGTTTTCACTTCGGATTGTGAAAAAGAAAACATGTTGCTGTGGTAAGTTCCTTTTTAATCGAATTTTAATTTCATGTCTCAAGTAAGTCATAGATATAGACTTTTTTGTTTTCTTATTAAAAATAGAATAGTATTAAGCTATTTTACTCAATTTATCAGGTTCAGTACAATCAGTACATTTAGCTCATTGTACTTACAACAGAAAAAAGCTTATGATCAGCTGTTTTACCCCATAGATATTGTTGGTTATGTGCAATGATTAAAACACTGTAAAATGGTGCACCACAGAAGTCATGCTGAAAGAGGGAGAAAATTTCTCAATTAAATTTTAATTTAATTAGCTACACATCTCATCTGTAGCACACTGGTCTTAAAAAATATGTATGGATGACAGACCTAGAGCACAAAAACTTATGCTTGATTGTGGATTAAATTCTCTAAATTCTTTTCTCAATTGTACAAAAGCTAGATTTCATTTCTGTCAATTACTTCTTCGATATTTAATATCTGCACATACAGATAGCTGCAGCGTGTTAGTCTGTTGGACCAAATAATTTGCCTCTCAAAATGGCAGTGTATAGTAACATTTTGAGATGGCAGTTTGAAAACGGCCACTGTGAAATAAATCAATATTTGTGCACAATAAATATAAACTATTTTTTTCAACTGGTAGCACTGTAGCTCTCAGACCTGTCAGTGTCACCCAGTATATTTGTTTCAGACAGCTACAGTTCCAGGCGCGGATCCAGAAATTTTTCAAAGGGGGGGTTGAGGTTGGATCCAGAAATTTTTCAAAGGGGGGGGTTGAGGTTTTTTTCAAAAGGAGGGGTTGAAGGCGAAAACAGTTAAAACGTATGTTGTACACATACATATAGTTAAATAACTCAATAGAATATCGATACAGGGTCGAGTATGGTTTTTGAAAGTGGGACGTTGATCAATCTGGGAAAAAGTACTTGTATACATTACCAGAAAGTTTTTGAAAAAGAAAGGAAAATAAATCTTCGAACCTGAAAATCCTATTTTGTAAAGGGATGGGGTTTTATTTTGTTTTTACAACCAAATTTCTTTATATATTACAACATTAGCCTTTCACCTTACATTTTCTGTAGTAAAAACACAACAACAAAAATTGGAACTTTCTTATTTCTCTTTCTTTTTTGCAAATCCAAAGGGGGGGGGGGGGGTTGCAACCCCCGTAACCCCCCCCCCTCTGGATCCGCCACTGAGTTCTGCAGCTATTTTTTTTTATTATGTCTACAACCTGAAGGTTTTAAAAAATGTTAATAAATTAATTTCAAAAAGGATATATTCTCCCAGAATAATTGTTTGTAATAATTACCTCATAAAATATTTTAATCCCATCTCCGTAGATTTTTCGAAGAAATTCTATCTCATGATTGGTTGAAGTCTGTCGCGTGAAGGAGATGGGTTACTTATTCCCATTCAATTGTAAATCAATATACAGTCAATGTATTATATAACAAACACAATGTGACATCATAACAGGCACAGTTTAAGGGTGATGAAGCATGTAGTAGAGAAAAAAAATTATAAACCACAGATAATATGTAAATGTTTCATTGGTGGGGTAAATTTGTTACATAGTTTTTTAGTGACAGGGTACGGGATGATACGTGGTTAGTAAATTTCATACATGACGCGGCTTCACCTCGCCAGGTATAAAATTTACTAACCAGGTATCATACCATACCCTGTCACTAAAAGACTATGTAACTTACTAATAGTACATGTACCTCCGAAGTTGTCATTTAAATGATTTGATGATATCTGCACATAATCATCACTTACACATGGGGTAAGTCACATGTTGCATACTTTAATAAAACTGATTATATCTACTATATCTTTTACATGTTGTACAAGATTTGACTGACTTATTATACCCCAGGATTAAAAAGTGGAAGGGTAAATAATGTTCGTGGTGTCATCTAGCTGTATGTCTGTCCATCCATCCACCTGTCTAGCTGTCTGTTTGTCTGTAAGGCTTTGGGGTACGCATCTCTTATCTGTAACTCCTCTCATACCACTGAATGAAATTTGACAAGACTTTCACAGAATCTTTAATACATATTGCCATTGTGCATCTCCTATTTTACTTTTTGATCCGACAGTCACATATTTTGAGTTTCCCATAGCAAAACATGGTCACTGCCATTATATTCATCATGTTCATATGGGAGGCGGGGTATCATTTTAAGTGAGCTCATTGTTCACTACCTCTAGTTTATCAAGTTTTCTTGGTTGAATTGATTATGAACATGATAAATTAAGAGTAATATTTGAATCATTTATAAAGAGATACCAGCAATATCAATATTTATGCCCTTCCATGAATATGGTCGGGGCATTTAGCGTTTGTCATGTCTGTCCTCCATCCTTCCGTCTTTACGTCACACTTTGCATTTAGCTCTGTTCAAAGCTCAGTTTCAAAGAAACTATCCAACATATTTTCATCAAACTTAATCAAAATATGCTGATAGATATTGGTGAGAGCTATGCAACTGCATCAACATCTTTTGACCTTGTCCTTTCCTTTGACCTTGACCTCACTAGTCTTTTCTTAAATCAGTGTCAAACTTCATATGCTGATACACACTGATGTAAGCAAATCACCTGTATTAACATTTTTGACGTTGACCTTTCATTTAACCTTGACCTCATTTTTATGGAAATTGTTTTTAAGTTAGTTTTAAAGAAACCATTTATAATTTTTTTTAAATTTCATATGCTGAAACATACTGATGGGAGCTTTTCAACTGCATCAACAGTTTTGACTTTGGCATTTCCTTTGACCTTGACCTCCCTTTAATGAAATTAGTGTTAAACATAATATGCTGATACATACTGATGTAAGCAATTCAACTGCATCACTATTCAAGATTATATATTCTGATCAAATTTCATACACTAATACAAGTTTTCATGTTGCATTACTAATAGGAATTAATTGATTGAAAGCTGCCACTTGGTATTAATCAAACATTTTTGATTAGCAAGGGTGCCTTTTCCGTAATTATGAAATGTGTGGACCAAAGGTCATGGGTTCATATGTGGTAGTGACATTACTGATAATTGCTGAATATTACTGATTAGTCGAAATGCATTTTATTGTTCCCCTACTCTGTCTATGGGTATTAAGTAACCAAAGGAAGCATTCTAAGTGTATACTTTTTATTCACGAGAACTTTATTTTCACATAATTACGCATAATTACGCGAGACAGTGTGCCCGCGAAAATTAAATTCTCGCCTATAAAAGTATTCGTTAAGATTAAATAGAAGAATAGCTGCAGATCTGTAGCGTTATGGCTTTATATATTTGTCTTTGACCATAACGCTACAGATCCCGTAATGCTAATAAAAGTGCAATTTTCGGTGCAATATTTTGGGAAGAATTTCTACACTTTTCAGCATCGGTCAATTAAATACCTTTCACTCCCTAATTCTAAGCATATTATTTAGCTAATCTATATATTTTATCCATCTCCCAACCCTTAAAAGTCATCTCTACAAGACTTTAGTGATAAACTTGCTTGATTAAAATTATTTGTTAGATTGCTGAAAATTTACTTCAAGTGAGTTTATTGCCTGTAGAGACAACTATAAATGGTTGGGAGGTGGAAAATTATAAATATTGGCTACAGAATGTGTCTAGAATTAGGAAGTGAAAGGTAGTTGATTGACCAATGCTAGAAAGTGAAGAAATTCTCCTCGAAAGAGCGCAAAAAATATTGCGCCGTAAATTGCACCTTTTTTGCATTACAGGATCTGTAGTGTTATGTTCAAAGACAAATATATAAAGCCATAACGCTACAGATCTGCAGATAATAGAAGAATAGCCACAACTCGTGAAAATTTTGTCTAGCTAATCAAGAGTCAATGACTATCTAGCTAGAAATAAGGTGTCGTGAAAATTTAGTGATCTACAGTAGTTATGATAAGTAATGGTGATAAGCAAAATTGTGATTGCTGTTCAGTTTAAATTACGAACCAAATTCAAGCATTGGAAAAGTGTTGCATGATGCTCAGGAGACCTATAAAGCCCATGGGCCTTTTGTTTAAATGTTTACAAACTTAATTTGTATCAATAACTAAGGTCTAAAGTACAAGCTGCATGCATTTACTTTGTTAATTAATAACTTAATATCATATCATTATGTTCATGCACGGGTCTAGGGAAGGGGGTCCCCCCCCCTGGAATTTTCAGAGCTATTAAATGTATATTAAATACTAAACCAAGTAAAAGTGACCCCCTTAGACACTCAGGACCCCTCCTTAAAAACTGGGATTTATGTGAAATTGGTATGAAAAATCATAGGTATGAAGCTTTAAAAGTAAACAACTCTTCACCCCACCCACAAAATAGGTATTTCACTTATGGAAAAACAGTTTAATTTTTTTGCTTTTGACTTGGGTGGACACCCCCTGCAAAAAAATTCCTGGATCCCTTCCTTTTATCACAATTAGGTATTTTATTTCAATATTAAATAAGGTTGATAATAATACTATACTTATTAAGGGCTATATCATAGAGATACTTATATTTTTGTTTTAATATTTGTTTTTTTTTTAATCGTTTAAAGTACTAATAACAATATCCCTTTTTATTTAGCTTGGACAGAAAAGAGATATAAAAGGACTTCATGGAATTCACCAACATCGAGACATTGAAGATCCTGAAGCATTCAAGTACAAGATGACAAAGCTTAGAAAATTGAGTTGTCTTTTTCACCATTGGCCTGCCTTGCAGAGTTACTTCAGTTCCCATGACGATGTTGAGAAACCAGACAGATGAAGTGATGTACATCATATACATGTATTAAAGACAACAACCATGAACATGTATATGTGAATCAGCTTCCCAAGTTTCATTATTCATCCACTTAATGATTTTTGAAGGTAAAATTTTGAATGTCTAAATGTTTTATATAAATATTGTTCATATAAATGTACATTTAAATTAAATTTTAAAAAATGCCTATTGGAGAAGCTGATATTTAAACATTTAAATTATTGTCTTTTATCAGGCTGATGAAGTTAAGATTGGGTACTTGAGGGACATCAAAGATGCTGGCCAAATTTCTTTTCAAGGATATGGTGATATCCAACCTTGGCTTTCTAAATCCAGCAAATGGAGGAGATCTGGACCCGGACCACAATTAGCTTACATATAGACTTATATAGTAAAACCATGTGTTTTATTTTCTTTGTAACTTTTTTAAAAATCTTCATTTCCAAAATATCTTTGACCACATGATAGAGCAATATGTCAGATAAATATTCACATCCAGAAATAGGGGTGTTGAATGTGGAATTCCCTGGTTATTAATAAACTTCTGACGTCATGACCTCGGGATAGCTCTCGCTTGGCAAAAAAAGTGTAAACAAACCAAATGAATGCTCTTTTCAATTCATATTTCTAGGCATAATTTTTGCTTGAAATGCACCTTGCTGCATATCATTGTAAACTTTAGACACTCTACTTTTATTCTATACCCCAAAAGTATCTAAAACATGTGAGCTATTTTTATTTTTATCATTGAAAGGGAGGCATATGAATTTCCTACATGTGCTACGTTTTAGCCATTTGACCTTCACCCTTTAATTGTGGCCCGGATCCTATATGGGGGCATAAAATTCATTAAAAAATTTTAAGGCCATATTTGAAATCCTTAGATACTACTTAACTAATATACCAAGTTTGACTGAAATTGGTTGATATCTACATGTAAAATTACATATTGTGTATACTAAGGCAATACAGGAAAGAAAATGGCAAAAAATGGCAAGTATGAAATTTTAAATTTGAAATATGTAAAAACTGTTAGACCATAAAAGGAACTAATTATTACAAGTAAGTTGTTGATACCTCTTAAACACACACACACTCTTAAATATGTAAAATACAAGATTTTTAGATTTCTAGGTAATTTGATGATCTGTACCCTGCATTTTCATAAAATTTTCTTAAATTAAGAAATATAAAATCTATCATGAAAATCTGAGAGTGACAATAGGGGTAAACATTTAAAGTACATTTATTCATAAATCAAATGATGTATCATATTACTGATAAAAGTGTACATAACATTCAAAATAAACAGATTTTTAAGCCCACCCCCATATCCTTTTTCCTGACTGTGAAGAGGGGCCATGTGCAGCTGATTGGCTAAGAGTCTTTGTATAGGTAATCTTAATACCCTATGGGAGTCTGTTTTGACAGGTGATTGTCAAAGGAATATATTGCAGTAAATACCACTAAAAAAGTGTCCAAATAAACATTGTCATAATTCAATCTTGCTTTCAAATCCACTCTTCACTACACATGAAAACAATGAAAGGTGACCGTAAAAGAAGAAAAAATCTTAATTTTGGATTTAAAAAAGGGAACACTCATTATATTAAGGCTCATCAGGCTACGTCAAATGCCGCAGGAGCTTCAAGTTCAGCGTCAAACATCCAGGGATCTCCAGAGACCGAGACAGCACATCCCCTTGCTGAAGGCCAGGAAAACATCTCAAGGATACCAATCCTTCGTCCCAGACCTGAGCCATGCCAGGAGCTAAAAAATGAAGAGACGTCTTATGAATTTGAGGGAAACCGCATTGTTGACATAACATTGGTCTTGGAAATGTTTAATGATGCAGCCAAATGCCACTTTGACCAGGCCAAGCACTGTAATTTTCCAGTGTGGGAATACTCAGGACAGAGGAAATGGGGGTTTGGATGGCAGAAGAGACTACTGTGTACGGTATGTAATTTTCAGACAAATTACTATAAATTATACACTGAAATTCCTACCTTTAACAAACCAGGCCCTAATCCTGCCAGTATCAACTGGAACTTTCAATTAGCCCTGCAGAACACCTCCATGGGGAATCGACGCAGTCGGGAAATGGTAGCTGCCTTGGACATTCCACCTCCTAACCGCAGTTCCATGCAAAGGGCCAGCAACCAGGTCAACACAGCCACTCTAGCCCTGAATAAAAAAGACATGGGTGAGAAGAGACAACTGGTTAAGGCCATCAACCAGGTCAAAGGTCAAGAACATCCAGAGGAACTGGACATTGCCATAGATGGACGCTACAACTCCATAACCTTCGGTAGCAGCAAAAAGCCAGGCTACAATGCATCACAAGCTTACGCCATTGCATGCGAGACCAACACCGACAAACAGTATATTATTGGCACGGCAATGCAGAACAAACTTTGCTGGACTGGAACCTGGCTTAGAGGTAATGGTTATGATGTTCATTGTCCGGGGGGTCATGAAGACTGCACAGCTAATATTGAAATGTTCTCACCTCTTTCAGAGTACGAGATGGCTAAATCCATAGGCGAAGATCTGGCAGCGGACGGGTTCAAGGTGAAGCACGCCACAACAGACGGTGATGCCCGGTCAGCCCAGGGATTCCAAGATGCCATGCGAATTTTTCATCCAGACTGGCAAGTCACTCGACTGGCCGACCCAACCCATGTCAGCAGAGCCCAGTTCCGGCAGTGTCGCAGTGCCCACTTCAGCCCCGAGATGTTCCCCTGCAAAACAAGAAGGAGGTTAGACGACATGAGAAAAGTTTTTGCACAAGATGTAAAGGCCCGGTGCAGCTTAGTCTATAAGAAACTCATGGATACCTACACTGGAGACATCAACATCATCTGTAGTAAACTTCCTCTTGTCGTAGAAAGTACCATCCTCTGCTACTCAGGAGACTGTTCAAAATGTCGAAGGAATTCAGTGGTGTGTGAAGGTGGAGACAGACACAACTGGTGGAATCAGTCTTATATCCTCGCCCCGAACAAACTGACATCCCTGCACCTGAATGAAAATGACAAGCACTTGTTAAAAGTCATTCTTGAGATGCGACTTAGCCAAAGTGCCATTGAGGAAATGAAACTCAACACGTCAACTCAGAAATGTGAGGGTCTTAACAGAGCAGTCAGCGAAGTTTTACCTAAGCACACCAACTATTCAAGAAATGCTGAAGGAATCCTCTCAGCTGAGATTTTACGACAAAACAACAGTCCGGGACTAGCAACATCAATGAAAGCAGCAAAGATTACATTGCCACTGTGCAGCCACACACATCAGTACCTAAAAAGCATTGACCAGGAATATGCCTATCGCAGAGAATACAGAAAGAGAAAAGCAGTTAAAAGGCGAGAAATGCAGAGAAAAGCTACGCTAATAAAACAACATGCGGCGGCTAGAAAAGGAAAGACCAAACCCGGATGCACCTACAACAAAGGGCAACTTGATCCCAAACCCACCTACCTACAGTCCAAGGGAGACAATCCAGAGGATCACACCTACTACCAGACATGAGTTGCCAAGACAAAGACAAAACGGCCCTTCTCAGGGCCAAACAAATTATTCGAAAAGATACCTACTATACAAAGTCGTATAAGAAACGTGTAAAAATTAACACCAGGCCACAACCCTAAAACTTCCACATAAATACATAAGACACATCATACACATACGCACACATGTACATACATACATACATCCATCCATACATACATACATACATACATACTTACTTACTGATCAATATTTTTGTCAAAAACTACAAACTATACCCCCCCCCCCCATCTTCCTTGAAATGACAAACCCATCAACCCCCATTTCTATTTTAGTGAAAAGTACATATTTTTACACAACATAATTTCCACTTACCTGAAATTATAAACTCCAATACACAACCTCTGCCTGCATGTGCAATTATGAGTCGGGCAAAGCCTGAATCCCATTTCCACGTGCGGTTTCCTGCAAATAAATCCATGCACATGTTATTGTAAATATTATTGGCCCAATCACCACCTTCTTATTGCGCCTTATTTTGGGTGGGGGAAATCAATGGATAGCTTGTCTGTCATTTCCAATAAACACCTCGTCTTTCATCTATGACTTCAAAGGGACCCCTTATTAAGAATACACATGCAAATACACATTACAAAACAGTTTTTCTATTTTTAAAAAGGAACTATCTTCGTGGTCAATGGATGCACTAATGTGACCTCTTTCACCGACATATCAATTCCCCTGAAATATTGCATTCTGGGATGCATAATTTAAATTTTTTTTCAATCACTCCAAAAATTTTAATTTTTATAAAAATTAATTTTAAAATGTTTAAATATTTTTTAAAAAATTTTATGAAACTATTTCAAAATGCATAACCCACCTCCTGTCAAAATTTCATTGTCATATCTTTAAAAATAAATTCAGGGGAAACCCTCAAACACCCCATCATAAGGACCCGGACCACAATTAGCTTACATATAGACTTATATAGTAAAACCATGTGTTTTATTTTCTTTGTAACTTTTTTAAAAATCTTCATTTCCAAAATATCTTTGACCACATGATAGAGCAATATGTTAGATAAATATTCACATCCAGAAATAGGGGTGTTGAATGTGGAATTCCCTGGTTATTAATAAACTTCTGACGTCATGACCTCGGGATAGCTCTCGCTTGGCAAAAAAAGTGTAAACAAACCAAATGAATGCTCTTTTCAATTCATATTTCTAGGCATAATTTTTGCTTGAAATGCACCTTGCTGCATATCATTGTAAACTTTAGACACTCTACTTTTATTCTATACCCCAAAAGTATCTAAAACATGTGAGCTATTTTTATTTTTATCATTGAAAGGGAGGCATATGAATTTCCTACATGTGCTACGTTTTAGCCATTTGACCTTCACCCTTTAATTGTGGCCCGGATCCATCTACCACGAACTGCCCTTACTGTGCTAGCACAGAGATTCACTTCCTTTGTGCCCACGGATCAGTGGGAACAAAGGGAAAAGGAATTCATGGATTACCAAACAACTCCTGCTCTGGACCTCCCAAGTTTTGTGGAAAACACAAGAAAAGATGTCTACTGCATGGGATAGGATTCTGGACAAAAAAAATAACATCACCAAGACACCAATGTATCCAGTGATGATTGATTGATCTTATGTTGTTTAACATCCCTCTCAAGAATGTTTCACTCATATGGAGACGCCACCACTTGCCGGTGGAGAACTGCAAATTTTGTCCTATACTCGGTACTTCAGGGCCATTGAGCAAGGAGGGATCTTTTTTTGTGCCAGCATCTACTGCAACTTCGGTTAGTACAGTCTCATCCAAAGGA